CTCACTACTAGATCAGAATCATAGTGATCCGCTTGTTTAGAGCCTCCCAAGAGCTGGGATTACAGGTTCATGCCACTGTGCCCAGTCTCAATCGCCTTCTCAGCATGCCTGGGGCAGGGTCTGTACAGTAGGCCTCAGGATTGAATCCCTGGCCCCTGTGCCTGCTTGCAGAAGCTTTAATCCATTGAGTTATTTGGCCAGCCCTCCTTTTCAGTTTTATAACTTTCTTTTCACAACTGTTGTATAGTCATATTTGGTAATCAGAACGACCATTTTGAAGATAATTATATGCAATTTAACAAGGGCTAGTCCTAATTTTATGATTAGAGATAAAGTTAAGGTAAGTAAAATAATTTGGTTGTCAGTATATTGGATTGATCATTGACCTGAGTATATTATTGCAAGAATAATTGATGTTGAATTACTGATGCAGTTACTTTTATTAAGAAATATTTTCTAGCACCTTCTGATGATCACAGGTTTGCTTTATTTGTTAGAATAAGGATAATAGCTAGTATACTTACTTCTAAGCCTACACATATTAACCCTCAATGAGAGCTAATTAAAGTAATGTGCCTTTGATTAATGTGGCATGAATAATTGTTTTTAAAATGATGTTAATTAGTATGAGAAGGGTTTAAAACAAACATTTTCAGGGTATGGGCCTGATAGCTTATTTATCTGCCCTTACTTATAGAATATAGCGTGGAGGTATCACAGAGAAGTTTGAGTTCTTTGGAGTAGCTTTGATCCCTGTTTTTCTAGAAACAAGAAGACTTAAACCTCTATAATTTACTATATCAAAGTAAATCTTTTTCAGATATATTTCTAGGATGTATTTTGGGGGGATGCTGCATATGAAAAGAGGTATTGAAATATATCATATACAGAGAGCGAGAGTTAAAGAATTTTTTTCATAGATGAGTTGATCAAAGCGAAATTGTTGATATGACCCCTCCAACTCAGGAATAAGGTAGTCATTGCAAGTGTTTTATTTGTGAAATGTATTTAACATATTTTTGGAATTATAATGTTTGGTATAGATTTGAGGAAAATGTTTCCAGAACATTTATTTTTAAAATATTTATATATTCAGCTATGAAAAATAGTGCGAATGGCCCTGCAGCATATTCAACGTTAAAGCCTGAAACTAATTCTGATTCTCCTTCAGATTGAAAGGAACTCAGTTTGTTTCTGCTAAAGTAGATATGAATCATATTTTAGCTAAGGGTCAGGTAGGTAAAATGATTTCAGATTTTTGGGGGATGGTTATTAGGGTTGATAGACTGAATATTCCATTTAGGAGAAGAATAGATAATAGAATAATGGCTAAGGTAACTTCGGATGAGATAGTTTGAGCTACAGCTCATAATGCTAAAAAATGCATATTTAGAATTTGATATTCATCCATATCACATGAAAGAATATACAGCATGGCTTGATATAGCTGGCCCTCTTTTGAATTCTGATTTTTTAGTGAAACTTTGTATCATTCCTAATGCTTTAAACTATTTTTTATTCTCTTTAAAAGTAAAAATTAAATAAAAGAAAAGCTGTTAGATTAAAAAAAAATCACCTATAAGGATTATTTTATCAGAATTATGACAAGTTATTCAACACAAATCATCTCATCAAAAAGAGATTGGAGTGAATTATTTGAATCCCTGAAACAAAACAACTTCCTTCCAGATAGATGAATTCTTAATAATTATCTTTCAAAATTAATGGAGAAATATGTTACCTCTATAACAAAAAGCAGTAAAAAAAACTGTGATTACAAGAACTCTACTACCAGTACTGAAAGATATTTTAATAAGATAAAAATGGCCACAATTCCAAGAATAATACAAAGGAACCACCACACAGGCAAAAAGTAGGTTATCAATAGCAGGAAAATAACCTACCAAATATTAACTAATGCATATCTGTTATAACCATTAGTGTGCATGGCTTGAATTTATGAATCAAAATAAGCATACTGGCAAAGTGGATCAAGATAAAAAAATTAACAATGTGCTATATGTAAGAAACACTTTTAATTCAGAAAGAAATTCAGAGATTGAAAGTGAAAGGATGGAAAACTACACTCATGTGATGGCATCCCAGAAAAAGGCCAAGAGTTGCTCTTTTGTTACCAGACAAATTGAATTTCAAACCAAGAACAATCCAAAGAGGTAAAAGTCACTAGTACTTGTTATGAGAAAACTGCAAAAGGAAAAGATAAAAACCACAAATATATATGCAAATAATGTGGGAGTACCAACTAGAAAATGTAAATGTTAATAGATATGAAAATTCAAATCAGCAATAAGACTAAGGTAGTAGGGGACTTAACACTACATTGTCACAAAGAGATAGATCTACTATCTATAAAACAACTTCAAAGAAAAAAACTAAAGCAAGCTTTTGAACAAATAGAATTAGCAGAGCCTTACAGAATCTTCCAGCTAAAGTCAGAGTAAATATTCTCTGCTGTACATGGGAGATTCTCTAAAATATATCATATACTAACTAACACATAGATTACGCTTAAGTAAATGCAATACAATTGAAATTATCCCACTGTTGATGGGCATGTAGACTGGTATATCTACTGCTGAAACCAGTGCTCATATTCCCCAAAAATCTTGGATTAGGAGTCCTATTTGACCCAAAAATGCCAGTTCTGGGTATTTTTTCAGAAAAACTGGAAACATCATTCCATAGTAATATATGGGCATCCATGTTGGTAGCAGCACAATTCCTCATACATAAACCTTGGAAACAAACCAAATGTCCATTATCCGAGGAATGGAAAAAAGATATGGTATTTTATATGGAGTTTTACTCAGCTACAAAGAAAGACAAGCTTAAGGCTTTTATAGGCAACTGGATGGAATGAGAAACCATACTCATAAGTGAAATGAATCAGACTAGCCTGTCTAAACATCATATAGTCACCCTACTGTAAAAAACTGAAAGAGTAAATAAATCCAAAAGGTACAAGACATACTGAGAAAGGGAAAATAACTTTCTTTTAGTAACTAAATGAAGTAACAACTGGAATTGGAAAAATGAGAAAATAAGGAAAGAAGGAAGAGAAACATATATACGATTGTTATTATTTTGTTTGGTGAAATTTTGTATGATTTCCAATTGTTTTTACTGTTTTTTTATCTGCTTAAAATAAAAAGTAAATTGAATAAAAAGATGTTAGACAAAAAACAGGCCACCTATACATAAAGTGTTAGAAGAATTATGGTAGATAACACAAAACAGCAAGACAAAAAGATATATAAATATATATATATATATATATATATATATATATATATATATATATTAAGCTAAGATAAGAGTTCTACTAATTTTTTGTTTATTGAAAGAATCAGTTAATGTTTATTTACTCAGTTGTTTGATCAATTTGGAATGCCTATATCTGCTAATCTGAACAATTGCTTTAAAGATAAAAATATGCAATTAACAACTATAATTAATTTCTTGTCATCATCTTTTGAAATTTTGTACCATTTTTGTTATTATTTTATTGTTTAAAAGTTTTAAAAATTAGAATGAAAAGAATTACAGTAAGTTTAATATATAGTGCTATATATTTCATGGAACTCGTTCTAATATTCATGTATGATATACAGAGAATAAATTGAGAGGCAACTCAATGACACTGCCTGACATTCAAGAGAAGAAACATTACCTTCCACGGAGGAAACATCATCACTTGTCTATTTCTCATTGCTGGAATTTCTACTTCTTCCAAAAGCATGGCATGAAGGGCAAGGGCCACAGCATACACAGCATTATATATATTGTAGCTCCAGTCATTCATGGCTGTTTCAAAACGATTCAGAGTCAACTGAACCAGAGAGGCATTAGGGGTACAGTTCTTCAAGGCACAGTCAGACTCAGAGAATGAGCAATCAAAATTCTTGGACCAATACATAAAGAGGTAAGTGTCTTCTGGGTACTTGAAAGGGGTAGCTGCCTGGACAAAAGTTTTGAAACCTGAAATTTCTGCTTGATGGTGTGAAAGAACAAGAATCCCATGGAATGGGTCAAGTATGAAATTTCTCCCAGTCATATCAGCATGCCATCGTGAGTTTGTCACCCAAACTTTCCATATCACTAAACTTTGTGCTATGTTGTAGTTTACATCATTTGCACTATCAGTATCATAGTAAATGACCACCACATTGACTGATGATGTTTCTGAAGTCAAAATATCATGTTTCTGTGTGACTGAGATATATGACACAGCCACAGTTGACAACATTTTTACAAAGGCCACACAAATTCTGTTTCTGTCCATCTCAACTCTTATATCTGAGAGAAACTGAAGACCCTTATGGCCTTCTGTGATGAGCAGCCCCACCCAGGTCCAGTGGAAATGAAGCATCAAGGACACCATGGCAAGGGCCAAATAAGTGTCCTTTGGGGCCACTTGATGGAGAGAAGGATACTGTCCCCTGTCCATAAGGGTAGAATCAAACGAGCCAAAGGTAACCTTGAGGAAAAAAATAAAACTTTGTAATATAATGAAGCGTTGTTGGAATACACCATAGTTGAATGGAAGCATAATTAGTAACAATTAGCAATTTTACAAGGAGACAAATGTTGTGATTTTTCTTTCTAATCATCTCACTCCTTAAATACATTAATAAAATGCAATGTACTCAGATATACTCAGACACCTTGGACATTTTGTTTTCTTCCTCCAATGAATAAAATAAATTGTGGATTACCATGTATCTATGCACAGAATCTAGTGCTTTAAATACGTTCAATGATGCTAATTCCAACTTTATTTATTTATTTATTTATTTATTTATTTAGCAGTACTGGGAATTGAACTCAGGACCTTGTGCTTGCCAAACAAGCACTTATTCTACTCAGCTATATTCCTTGTTCCCCAACCTCATTTTTAAATCTTTATGTTCCTTGTAGTTTAAGCATTATGGATGTGCTTCCATCATTTCCTGTACCATCAACCCTCACCTGTGGAAATCTGTAGAGCTCCAGCAGTGGTCCAATCTGAGCTGAGGTTCCCCATGGTACTTCTGTCAGGACTGCTGCACACTTGCTTTCTGCCCCACACATGTAATTAGGGATCTCATGTTGTCCTGTGAGCAAAATGAAGGAATTCTCTAGTATCCTCCAATGACTGTAAATGAAATTGTGGAACTCATAGCCCAGAGTAATGTTGGGCAGAAGATGAGGATTCCTGTTGATCTCTTCTATGGCAAAAATGAAGGCCAGGTAGTTCTGGTAGTTGTTAGGCATTAGCCTGCAGACAGAACAGAAGTCCCCAGGGAAAAGACTCAATCAATGATTGCCTCCTATGATATGAATGCTGGGGTTTCTCACTAACACATATCATTAGAACCTGCACATGTGTGTCATCATATTGGAAGATTAATTTTTAAAGTTAATTATAATTATGGGCATCATGGGGGTAAATTTCTCATGAAGATATTAGTGACATTATGGGATTGAAGAGTTGCTTCACAGTTCGGGTTTTTTGAGGACACTTATAAGACTGTAACACATAAACTAAATAACAGATTCTTTATTGATATTCCTCAGCCTGTGTAACTATTAAAAGTAAATGATTACTGGGGCCGGGGAGATGGCTCAGTGGAATATGCACTTCCCTGGCAAGTGCAAGGGCCTGAGTTCAATCCCTAGTTCCGCAAAAAAAGAAAAAAATGTAAGTGATTACTAATTTTGACACCTAGCTTTTGATCTATGTTTATGCAATGGGCTGAGAAAAGCAAACTTATAAGTACAAATAAACTGTGAATAAATTTAATTTGTCTTTGGAAGACCAGGCTCCTATGAAGTTTTAAAAGTTATAGTTGATGCAACTGAATTAATTTTTTCTTTATACAGACTTTTGCATGTCCATGTATATTGAGGAAATTTTAAGAAATCCACATTTATGTTGGTCTTTGTAAATACTCTTTGGCATCAAAAACTAAGATAATTCCAAGTATTAAAACAACAATGCTTAATACTACAACACTGATCTTCACAACACTGATGTCCTAATAAGTTGGAAATGTGAAAGAAGGGGAAAAATAATGAAGCTTGCTTATTTTAAATGTTCAATTAGGTTTCCTAAACCTGTGCCACACCAAATTTGTATATCTGCAACTACCAAAATCCAGTAGACCCCCCATTAAGTTCAAACCACTGAATGAGAAGGAATTATAAAAATGTAGAGAAACAGTTTAGAAAAGCAAGGTGAAAAACAGACATGTACAAATTCAACATTGTGGGGCCTACATGAAGAAGCCACTAGACAAGCAGACAGCAGGGCCCAGTGATCCACATGGATGGGGCTCAGCTGGAATGAACTGAACTTAGCAAATAGGCCCAAGCCAGGTCCAGCCAGTTGAGTTTGATATCAGTTGATCTAGACACAGTGAGCTGAGGATATTGCTGGTGCAAGCAGAGGCCAGACAGAGTTGGAGACCTACAGGAGAATCCTGGCAGTACAGAGGTGGCAGCAGGTAACTGGAGTGAATTAATCTTCGTTGAAGACTCACAAGGAGGAGGTGCCCAGATAAAACTCTAGGGAATTAATTTAAATAAAAATTCCCAACTTAATACCTCCGTTTTTATACAGCTATATTGTTTGCTCTATAGTCAAAAGTACAAACACACTAGTCATAAAAGTTTTAAAATTTCTATATTTCACCATCTATTATTACTATTGCAAATTGTACTATTGTAAATAGGAAACCATATCTGCCTAATCACATGTTCTCCCTTGGGTGATAATATTGGAAACTGCTTGGAAAATAATCTCCAAAGTTTACACTGAGGGATGGAGGACAGTGACAATCAGAAATCAATATCCCACTCTCAATCAATGGAGAAGGCAAAATCTGGGGGAAATAAAGCAGGAATCAATGACACAAGAGAAATACCCTAAAAACAGATTTAACAGAGAAGCTCTGACTGCAGTGATAGAGCTACCTACTGTCAATCTTTCACAAAAAGGTATTACATCAAGCAAATCAAAGATTTTTCTCTGAAATACAAACTGACAAAAAGCAGGAGTAAAATGCAATCTCAAGCCACAAACGAACCCAGGACAAACTCAGAGACATCATCACTGTAGAAATTGGAAGTCAAACACCTGAAATATTTGAAATAATAGCAACTGAACTAAAGAAACAACTTCAGTAGGGTATAGAAGAAATCTGATCAGATATAATCTCACAAGTAAAAAAGAAATGATAAGTATAATGAAAGAATTAGTGTTTTTAAAGAAGATACTGATGAAGAAATGGAGCAGAATATAAAAATGATGGCAATCTTGAATGAGCAATACAGGAAAGACATAGAATGCATGAAGCAGATTCAAAGAGTTATATAGGAAATTAAAATCTCAATCATAAGTTGATAAAACCATTTGAATGAAAGAGAAGATAGACTTTCAGACCCTGAAGGCACCATGGCAGCTAGTGGAAAGGTAAGGAAAGCTCTCTTAAAAACAACTAAAAGCCAGAAAATAATTATTCAACAGCTGTGAACAGATGCAAAGATCAACAAAATAAGACTAATAGGCTTCAGTGAGAAAGGAGCGACACAAATGACAGAACAAGAATATGGGCAGCAGAAATAGCATAAAATTTGCCAATATGTGGAAACAATCTGACATTCAGTAGCCATGGCATATAGAACTCCAAATAATGTCAACCCTATTAAAACTAAACAAAGACTCATAATAATCACGATCCAAAAAATTCAGCACTAAAACAAAACATACTAAACGCCACTCAAAGAAATAAATGGAACATATTTAAAGGGAAACCCATGAGAATAACAACAGATTTCTCCTCACAAATCAAGTCAAGAAGAGCATGGAGGAAAGTATTTCAGGTCCCACAAGAAAATAAATTCCAACACATACTGATATACGCTGAAAAACTCTCTTTAAACATTAGTGGAAAAGTAAAATACTTCCATGACAAAAACAACTAAATTCATGACAGCCAAGCCAACATTATACAGATTACTAAGAGATATTCTAGAGATAGGTCAAAATGCCCACAATTCCAAGAAATGAAAAAAAAAAAAAAAAAAAAAAGGAAACACAGCAAACTGTTAAACACAGGACAAAAGTAGATAAGCAACAGCAGGAAAATAACATGACAAACATAAGTCAGTACAAATCAATAATATCCACAAAGGTAAATGGACCCAATTGACCAATTAAAAGAAATAGGCTGGCAGGGTGAATTAAGAAACAAAATCCAACAACATGTTGTACTGTGGAAGCCCATTTCAGTCATAAAGAAATTCATACGTTGAAAGGCAAAGATGGTAAACACTACTACATGCTCCAGTAGCTCAAAAAAAGGCAGAGGTACCTGTTCTGTTCATAGAGAATCTGAAATTCAAAGCAAGAATGATAAAACGAGATAAAGTCATTATACATTGCTTCAGGAAAAGTTCAAGAGGAAGAGATAGCAGTCATAAATATGTATGCAGCAAATGTGGGAACACCCAACTATGTAAGACAAATTTTAAAGGCCACAAAAACCCTAATATCCTCTATCACAATCTTAACAGGGGACCTTAATAGCCCCTTAGCTAAAAAAAAATAAGTCAAGCAAACAAAAAGTTAGCAAAGAAGTAGCAGAAATGAACCAAACCTTTGAACAAATGGATTTAGTGGACTTATACAGAATGCTCCACCCAACAACTTCTGAAAATACAAATACTTTTCAGCTGCACATGGCACATTTTTAAAAATAGACCACATACTAGTCCATAGAGCATGCTTAAGTATATGCAAGAAAACCGAAATTATCCCAAGAATATTATCGAACACAGTGCAATATAGCTAGACAATGTAGCTAGATTGTAGCTAGAAATTAATGACAAAAGAAATCACAAAAATCCATAAACATGTGAAAAATAAATAATGATTTCATCAGGAGCCAATAGGATACAGATGAAATTAAACAAGATATCAAACAATAACTACAATCCAACAAAAATTCAAACACAACATTCAGGAATTTTTTGGATGCAATAAAAGCAGTTAGCAGAAGGAAATTTATAGCAATGAATTAACACATTAAGAAAAAAAAGATAATAAATAAATACCCAAATGCTGCAGCACAAGTTTGAGAAAAATAAGTCTGAAACCCAAAGATTGGAGGAAATTATGAAGATTAGAACAGACATCAATCCAATTGAGACAGAAAAATAGAAAGAATTAATGAACCCAAAAGTTGGCTATTTGAAAGATTAGATTAAATTAATAAGGTCTGAACAACCTCATCAAAAAGGGGAAAAAACTAAATTTCAGCAATAAGGTACGCAAAGTGAAAATTAATACAGATGCTGTGGAAAGATAGAAGATCATTAGCTATTTTGAATATCTTTATTCTAAAAGGATCAAAGACATGGAAGAAATGGATAGATTTCTAGATAGGTACAAATAGGCATAACTGAATCAAAAAGATCTAAAAAATTTTTTTGGAAGAACCAGGGATTGAACTCAGGCCCGTGCACTTGCTAGGCAAGCACTTATTCTACTGAGCCATCTCCCCGGCTGCTAAAAATTTTGAATAAAACAATATCAGTCAGTGAAATTGAAAATGTAATCAAAGCTTAGCAACAAAGAAAATCCCGGGTCCTGAAGGATTCACAGCTGAATTCTACAAGAAATTGAGAAAAGATTTAATCCCATACTCCTCAAAATCATCAATTAAGTTGAAAAGGAAGCAATCCTCCCAAATTCACTCCTGGACACAGGAATTATATTGATATCTAAACCTGAGAAAGATCCAACCAAAACAGAAGTATATGCCAATTGCCAAAGTCCTCATTAAAATATTAGAAAATAGAATACAGCAAATGAGAGAGAAGATTATACAACAAGACCACGTAGGATTCACCCCAGGGTATGGAGATCTATAAATGTAGTACCTACATCAATAGAGCCAAAAGCAAAAACCACATGATTATCACAATACATGAAAAAATTCTAACACTCATTCATGAACAAAGGCCAATCAAAATTGGAATAGATGGCCTATACATCAAACTTATAAAAGTCAGTTGCCAAACTAATTCTAAATGTAGCAAAACAGAAAGGTTTTCCTTTGAACTCAGGTAAAATTCAAGTATTTCCTCTATCAAGATTGTCATTCAATATACTTCTGTAATCATTAGCTAGAGCAATTAGACAAGAGAAAGAAATGAGGAATAAGAATAGATGAAGAAGAATTTGAATTAGCATTGATTGCCCCTGACAT